CTGGACTGGGTGCTGTAGTCTATGCTTGTAGTCCTTGCTGCCTGAGAAACTGAAGAGTTGCTTGAACTCACTGCGTTGTTTTCTCTCTATCTCTTGCTTACAAACTGTATGGTCGTGGCAGGCTTCTTGCTAACTGTTCTTTTATCTTGAATTAACCCATTTCTATAAATCTATACCTGGCCACGTGGCTCGTGGCTTACCGGCATCTTCACATGTTGCTTGTCATGGCGGCAGCTGGCAGTGTCTCCCCCTCTCTCTCTCTTTTTAAACTTTATTTCCTATTTTGAGACAGCATAGATCCCAGGCTGACCTTGAACTGACTTTTTAGACCAGAAAGGCCTTGCTTGGATTTCCTGCTGCTAAATGAGTAGCTGGTGTTATAATCCTGCGCCACTAGGGCCCATCTTATTTGGGGTTGGTTGGTTGATGTGTTTTGAGATAGGGTCTCAAGGAGCCCAGACTGACCTTGAACTTGCTATGTGACTAAGGATGACCTTAACCAGCCACCTAACTAGTACTGAGCCCCAGTCCTCCAGAGTCGCTGCCTGCAAGTGCCGTTTCAGTGAGCGTGAGCATTTGGGCGTAAGAACTGGAGCGCAGGCTCTTTTGTATTCCTCTCCATCAGGTCGGCACTTACTCAGACAGCTTCGACAACGGAGCGGCTGGTCTTCAGGAGCAGTTTGAAAAGCTTGACTGAGGTGACTTGGAAATGCGGCACTCCTGTTGGGTGCCCGTTAGTTACCCCTCCTGATGCCCGCAGCGCTCTGCTCTGTCGCCTGGGCGCCTGCTCCACTCGCAGCTGGAGGGCTGCCACACCGAGGACAAAGGCGATGGTGTCCCCTCCAACCCGGCAGAGCCTTTCCCTGCCAAGGCCCGGGAGAAGAGAAGCCACATGTGACCCCGCGTGTGACCCAGCTCCTGAATGGGCTCCAACTCGGCCTCCCAGCCCTGGCAGTCAGAGGTTCCCAGGCTCAGCAGGCTCGGGGGACAGGCCCAGGGTCACTATGGGGGCTCCTGACACTTTGACTTAATTTTATGGGTATACATGTATGTCTGTGTACCACATGCATGCCTGGTGCCTGCAGAAGCCAGAAGAGGATCACGGATCCTCTGGAACTGGTTATGAGCTGCCATGAGGGTGCTATGAATTGAACCCGGGTCTTCTGCAAGAGCAGCCGGTACTCTTAACAGCGGAGCCATCTGGCCAGCCCCTATATATATCTTTTTTATTGTATTTGTGTGTCTGTGGGTTTGTGCATATAAGTGCAGTTGCCCTAAGAGGCCAGAGGCATAAGATCTCCCTGGAGCTGGGGTTACAAGCTCTGTGGACTGCCTGTGTGTGTGCTGGGAATCAGATTTAGTCTTCTGCCATTATGCAAATAATAAATGTTAAAATATTATAATAAGAAAGAAAATAATAAAAAATTTAATTAAAATTTTAATACAGAGATTCAATTGTGTTTCCATCTTTTCCATTTGTTACATTGTTAAGTGATTGTATATTGTAATTATATAAAGACTTTTTAAAATCTCACTTCACATTTTGGAATTATTAATTATTAGTCTTCATTGTGGTCTTTCACAATGAAATGAAATGAGTGGCGAGCATGTTAGAAACACAGACTGAAGCCGGGGAGATCCTGCACCCCTGTAATCCCAGCATATGGGAGGACTTCAAGTTTGAGAGCAGCCTGAGATACATAGTGGGAGCTTGTGAAGAAAAGAAAGGTTTTTTTAACTTTTTAAAATGACTTATTTATTTTTATTTTATATGCATTGGTGCTTTGCCTGCATGTCTGTGTGAGGGTATCAGATCCCTTGGAACTGGAGTTACAGACAGCTGTGAGCTGCCATGTGGATGCTGGGAATTGAACCCACTGAACCCAGGTCCTCCAGAAGAGCAGCCAGGCCTCTTAACCACTGAGCCATCTCTCCACCCTGAAAGGAGACTTTTAAAAAGCAAGGAAGAAAGAGCCATTTGTGGTGGCACACGCCTTTAATCCCAGCATTAGAAAAACAAAGGCAAGTGGATCTCTGTGAGTTTGAGGCCAGCCTGGTCCACAGACTGAGTTCCAGGTTAGACCAACACAGTGAGACCCTGTTTCAAAATCAAAAGGAAGAAAGTAAAAGAGAAAAAGAAACCAAGAAGGCAGACCCCCCCCCCCCCCCCGTTTCTGATCTGACAGCTCACTGTTGGGATCTGTAGAAACTGGAGAACTCTGCAGTCGTGGCTGCTGTACTTCTGCCTCGTGCTTCAATAAATGGGGCTTTAAAGGCTCCGTGTGGGGCAGGAGATGCTGCTTAGCGGTAGGATGCTCACCTCGTGTGAGTGAGGCCCTGGGGTGGATTCCCCAGAACCACAACAGTAATTCCACTGTTGTCTAGTACAGTGGGATATGCCTGTAATCAGAGCAACCTTGGAGTGTCACAGCAAGTTCAAGACCAGCCTGGACTACATAGTGAGTTCCAGGCTCAGTGCAGAATCATAAGGAGATGCTGTCTCAAAACAAAACAAAACACCCAAAAGAGATTAAGAAAAAGAAAATCGTCAGACAGTGGTGCACACCTTTAGTCCCAGCACTCAGGAGGCAGAGGAAGATGGATCTGAGTTCGAGGCCAGCCTGGGCTACAGAGCGAGTTCCAGGACAGCCAGAGCTGTTACACAGAGAAACCCTGCTCCAGAAAACAAACAAACAATAAATAATTTTAAAATATAAATACCCGGGGCTGGAGAGATGGCTCAGAGGTTAAGAGCACTGACTGTTCTCCCAGAAGTCCTGAGTTCAATTCCCAGCACCCACATGGTGGCTCACAACCATCTGTAATGAGACCTGGCACCCTCTTCCATATACATAATAAATAAATAAATCTTAAAAAAAAAAAAAGAAGAAAAAAAAATATAAATACCCAGTATTGTGGACACATGCCTTTAATCCCAACACTCAGGAGGCACAGGCAGGTAGAAGTTCAAGGTCAGTCTGGTCTACATAGGGAGTTCTAGGTCAGCCAAGGCTACATAAAGAGATTCTGTCTCAAATAAAACAAACAAAAATAAATAAATAATAAATAAGGCTGGAAGGTGTGGCTGAGTAGTTAAAACAGATTTTTCTTCCTGGGATACATATGGTGGAAGAGAACTGCCCCCACACACATACACACAGAGTGTAATAACAAATAGTATTAAGGCCCAGTGAGCTCAGTGGCTAAATGCACCTGCCACCAAACCTGGTGAGCTGGGTTTGATCCCTGGGGCCCACATGGAGAAAGAACCAACTTCTATATGTTGTCCTCTGACCTACTCACATGCATCATGGCATGAGTGTGCACACACACACACACACACACACACACACACACACACACACACACTCTAAATATTAAAACAGAACATAGTAACAAACCTTTTTTTCCCCCTAAGACAGGGTTTCTCTACATAGCCCTGTCTGTCCTGGAACTCAAGACCAAGTTGGCCTTGAACTCACAGAGATCCGCCTGCCTCTGCCTTCCCAAGTGCTGGGATTAAAGGCATGTGCCACTGACTGGTTTGTAACAAACTTTTAAAAATTAGAAAAAAACCCAAAATCTACCAGTTTAAAGGTGCTCCCGGGAGTGCTGGGAAGGAGTTACCACTCCGTTAACCTTCCAGTGTCTTTACTCCTGGAGTATCCTCCGCCTGTCTCCCCTGTCCTAGAGGATGGAGGTTAAACTCCTACTTCTAGAACACCATATTGGATGAACCTAGCCGCAGGTTCCCTGCAGACAATTGCTTGAGGAAAGGGTCTTCTGGCCAATTCCCAATGTTATCTCACAGTTAATCACCACCCCATTAAAAATGATCAAGGCATGAGGTATTTAAAAAGCTACTTGTATGGAATTGAATTCAGGTTTCAAAAGCTACTTGTATGGAATTGATTTCAGGTTTCATAAGCTATGTGGGAACCAGACCTGAGGAACCAGCAACAGGTTTTTCAGGATACTTGCTCCGGGAAGGGATCTACCTCATTCCATTGCCCTCAGCCAGCAGAGCTGTGGCTTTGCCTCTCCCAACTCCTCTCCGCCCCAGCAGAGGAAGGCTCCTATTGCACAATGCCAGGACCTGAAACTAGGTTGCAGGTGGAATACTGAGAAGCAACTCTGTTTCTGGTATTTCTAATCCTCAAGAGGCTCACCTTTCTTTGACCACTGATTCCCAGGTTCCTGACAGGAGCGAAGAAGGAGGACCTAAGGAAATGTTTGGCAGGGTGGAGAGAACAGCCTCTCTGTTCCAACTTGGATGTCAAAATGTTTGCATTTTCCAGAGCCCAGTAGGGGTTATTACTCTTGGGTGGTGGGACTAACGACATTTTGCATCTTCCTAGTGTCTACAAAGACAATGTACTATCTTTAACATGGACAGAGTTACTGGGTCTAACCTGCTAATGAGAAGCATATTGTGTTTAACTCAGAAAATTTAGGAAACAGGAAGAAAAGGCTTTCTTAGTCATATCATGTAAAGATAACAGCTGTCTCTACTTTGGCATATCTTTCCAGACTTTTCTCTGTGCAGAGATGCTTCATTGTTTCCTGAACTGGAAGGGGGGAAAATGTAAACACTTAGAAGACAAAGCCTTGGGTTGGGAATGGTAGCACAGGAATTTAATCAAGAGTTCCAGGCTAGTTAGGGATACCTAGTAAGACCCTGTCTCAACAAAAACCCAAACCCAAACCAAAAAAAAAGTATAAGTAATAACTTTAAAAATAAATAAAGCGTTGATTCTTTAGTTTTCAATTTTATTTGTTTTGAAACAGCAACTCAATAGCTTAGAAATGTCCCTAACAGCAAGGGCCTACCCCATGCACTCCAGGAGGTTCCTGGAGCCGAGACCCCAGCCCTGGGTCCAGGAACTTCTCTCACCCACATCAATCAGCCACCAGGCTGATTCTCTCTCTGGAGACTTGGGACAAAAGAGGATGTCCATTTAGAGGAGGGTGGACCTAAGGGTCACCGTGTGGAAGGGCTAGGCTTGGGCAAAACTGCCTCTGTTAGTTTTGGGGACATCTGGGGACTTGGCAGCATGCTCAGACAGACTGTGGAAGCTTGGAGGGGTCCTGAACTGTTCCACTCACTTCTGGGCAAGCCCCCCAGCACCCCTCCATCTCCCAGACTCAGAAAATCCTCCCGCATGCCTCAGAGGCGCCCAGCCAGCTCCAGGCCTTGGCAGGGTGGGGAATCAGGAAGGTGATGAGGATTCAGACCTGAGAATATCCCACCATCTCCTGCCAAGGGCTTTGGGACCCAAGTGTACCACTCCCTTCCTGTCACCTAAAAGTGAACAATACAACGGCATCTCTTTGTGACTCGAAGGGGCAAACCTGGCATTTAAACCCAAGTGTGGTGGGCACTGATGCGCCTCCAGGCTGCGGGCAGCTCCAAGCATGCACTAGAAGTAGGAGCAGCTGAGCCAGGAGGGTAGGGGCCCACAGGGCTGTTGCTACCCTCCCCTCATGCCATCCACACCCATGGTACCCATGGAAACATAGCCACACACACCCCTCCTGCCAGCTGCCCGCATTCAGGCAACCAGCTCCAAGCTCACCTCCTCTCAGCCAAGGCCTGAACGGATGCCAGGCCAGCCAGAGTGGCTGCAGGAAGAACTGGGATTGGGCGATTTAGTCAGTCCAGGTACCAGCACAGCTTGGGAGGGCTACCACAGGAGCCTCCACACCTTGCTGCCTGGGCTGTGATCAGGCTGGGCTTGGCCAGCCAGCAGAGTGGCCAGCAGAGGCAGGTGGATGGCCCCAGCTGTCCTCTGCCCGCAGGTTAACAGCTACTGTGAGGAAGTAACCCTTGCTGCTGCAGCAGCAGCAGCCGCTGGGTCTCGCCGAGGGGGCTTTCCGGCTGCTGCTCCGGCTGCCCGGGTGACTCGGCCAGCCCTCCAGGGCTGAAGATGTACCGACAGTCACTGGGGATGCCACCTACTGCCCCCGCGCCACTGCCGTCCCCTGCCTCGCCGCTAGGCTGCTCTCCACAGGGCCGCTCCGGGCTGCCTCTCTCAGCAGGCTGCTCAGCTCTCTCAATGTTAATGTACAAGGGGTCCTGGCTGGTGGACAACACAGAGAGTTGGCCCAGAATGTTCTCCAGCTCCATTCGCAGGCATGTGAAGCTTGGGCGCTGCTTTGGGTCGGCACTCCAGCACTGGTACATGAGATCATACCTGAGGTAGAAAGAAGATGAGGAGAGGTAGTGGCCACACTGAGATGGGAAACAATTCTTCAACACTAGTGTGGAAGGCTTACTATGCATCAGGTTAAGATTACGTGTATTGTGTGTGTGCATAAATGTGCACATGCTCATGAACTCACAGGCATGCATCACAGCACACATGTATGGTCAAAGGACAAGTTTCAGGGATTAGCTTTTTCCTTTCACCGAGTGAGTGGGTCCCTGGGATCAAACTCGGGTTGTCCAGGTGTGGCAGCAAGCACCTTTACCTGCTGAGCCATCTCCTAGTCCTGTATTCAACAGTTCCTATTTTGAAAATATGGAAATTGAAGCGTGTGTGGGGAGATGAGGAACCTTGACATAGGCTGGAGAGACAGCTCAGTGGTTAAGAGGGATACTACTTTTGCAGGGGGCCCAAGATCAGTTCCCAGAACCCATGTCAGGCAGCTTAAAAGCACCTTCTAACTCCAGCTCTAGCGGGCTCTGATGTCTCTGGCCTCCACAGGTACCAGCACTCACATCCATATATATTCACACACATCCACACAATTAAAAAATAACAAAAATAAACCTTTAAAAAAAAACCTAGCACTGGGGTTGGAGGGATGGCTCAGGGGTTAAGAGCACTGACTGCTCTTTCAGAGGTCCTGGGTTCAATTCCCAGCTCACAATTGCCTGACACCCTCACACAGACATACATGCAGGCAAAGCATCAATGCACATAAAATAAAAATAAATAATTAAAAAAAAATCCTGGTACATGCCTTTAATCCCAGCACTTGGGAGGCAGAGGCAGGTGGGATCTCTGTGAGTTCCAGGTCAGCCTGGTCTACAAAGCGAGTTCCAGGACAGCCAGGGCTACACAAAGAAATCATGTCTTGAAAAAACAAAACAAAAAAATCCTTAATAAAGTCACATAGGTAGCTGGTAACAGAGTAGGCAGGAGTGGTTAAGCACATCTGTAACCCCAGCAAACAGGAGGTAGAGGCAGGAGGATCGCTACCAGTTTGAAGTGGGCTCAAGATACATTTTGAGTATGAGGCCAGCCAAAGGTGCAAAGCAAAGTCCTGCTTCAAAAAATTAAAAACTGGGCTAGGAATGCAGTCCAGTTGGTAGGACGCTTGCCTGGTATACACAAGGGCCTGGGTTTGATCTCTAGTACCTCCTAACTGCTATACTCCTGTAACTCTAGCACTTGGGAGGTGGAGGCAGGGGGGTCTGAAGTTCAAAGTACGCTTCTACAGCGCTGGTTTGAGTCTGGTCTAGGATAAGTGAGACCATCTCAGACGAATTCCCCAAAGTCACTGATCTATGATTTGAAGCCACAGAGGCTTCAAACTTCTGCGCTGTCCCAGGAGGGAGACTAAGTACAAGTACTCTGTCTTACACAGAAGCCTGGAGTCAGGATTGTCTCCCTTGGTTTTTGTTCTGTGGAGCCGCAGAATCCAGGGCCCCGTGCATACTAAGCAAGTAGTCTAGTGCTGAGCTACCATACCCCAAACCCAGGACTCAGGGTCACCTTTTTAAGAGGTAGACATGTACATGCCCCTCTTTGTCCCAAGTCCACACGAGGCAGAACCCACTCATGTACACTTACATTTTCAGAAAAGCTTCCAGCCCTCTTCCTCTGCCAGGAACACCACACCCCACACTTAATTTCACTAGCCTTAGATTCTCTTATAGCTTTCACTGTTTCTAAGGACACGGACACATGGACACACACACACACACACACACACACACACACCACACTCCTTCCCTCATGGGGAAAGTCTGAGACAAAATGCAATCAGCAGTGCCTGACTCTTGTTCATGACAAAAGCCCCAAGTACTGTCTCACAAAAAAGGCCCTCCTAATAGAGGCCCCAGTGGCAGGAAGAATCATGCCAGACCCCAGGCAGGCTGTGGGAACGGTCCAGACTACGGGTATATGGCCAGACGGGGACATATTCTCAAGGCGGCTAGAAGCCAACTGGCACCTTTCCTCCAGGCTGCCTGGTGGGAGGCCAGTGTCCGCCCACCCTTCATTGACAGCAGCAGCTACAGTCTGGGAGAAGGCTGAGCCAGGGTCTGTCTCTACTGCTTCCCCGAGATCGGCTTCTGCAGCTCTAGAAGAGGGCTGAGGCTGGGTGCAGCCATGGGGAGACGTGAGCTTTCAATCTCAACAACGCCCAAGCTCTGCTTAAGGAATAGGTGGGCAGGGCTGGTTCCTGCACTCGGACTTCCATCCAAAGTATGAGTGAGGGGCTGGGGTGTAACTTGAGCTGGAGTGTAACTGAGTTCAATTCCCATCACCAAAATAAATAAATAAATATTTTGTTTTGTTTTTTCCCTAGACAGGGTTTTTTTCTCTGTGTAACAGCCCTAGCTGTCGTGGAAATCAATTTGTAGATCAGGCTGGCCTCGAACTAACAGAGAGCCACCTGCCTCTGCCTCCTGAGCGCTGGAATTAAAGGTGTGTGCCACCACACCTGGTAATAAATGAATTTTAAATTGTTCTTTTGATGCCAGGCTCCAGGCACTTCAAATCCACTGCCTGAGAGGAGAATACCACCATTCAGCTCCCTTTCCTCCAGCTGCTCATGGCTGGGGCACTCTGGAGGTCTAATTCGAAAGCTACATGGAACAAGGGAACATGTATGTATTCACTCTCCAGAACCACTCCAGCTTGACTGGCGTCACAGAGTAATACTAGAACAGACCAACACAGTTGATTTCATGGTTGAGAGCATGAACTCTAAAACCACAAGGATCCAGGTTCAAGTACCAACTTAAATCACATAATAGCTGTGTGACCTTGGCCATGTTACTCAGCCTCTTTAATCCTATTTCCTCATCCACAAAATGGAGATGATAAGCCTCTTCCTTATAGGGTTAGAGAAAGATTGCCTGGGAGAATACCTAATGGGCCCAGCTAAGGTCAGTGACAATTACATCACCCTGTCACAAGGGTTTGTTTACACTACATGGGAGTCCCGCCCTGCTCCATAGTGCTTTGGGCTTTGCAGCAAAGAGAGGAGTCAGTTTCCTCCTTCCCAGGATCTCAGGTCCTCTCCTTCAAGGGGAGGCCAGAACCAAGAAAGAAGCCCAGGCCCCACCTTGTCCTAGCCAAGAAAAGACAGTTGGGGGGTTGCTTGTTTTTCCCGGGGTACAGCCCTGTGTGAAGGGGCCCAATGCTAGAGCCAGGCTTCCAGACTAGCTGGGTTCCCAAGAAGGCAAAGGAGCCCTGCACTGAGCTCAACTCTTCTGTGCCGTTTATGGTTCCTGATTCCCCCTAGAAACTGGTAACAAAAGTGATAGGAAAAGCCTGGAGCAAGAAATACGGGGTAGGAGCCGGGCATGATGTTTCATGGCTGTAGATTCCAGCATTCTGGAGACTGTGGCAAAGTGAACTCAGAGTTTGAGGCCAACCTAAGCTGCTTAGGGAAACTGTCTCAACACTCCCCCTCCCAGAAAAAAAAAAGGGGGGGGGTAAGAAAGGGAGAAGGGAAAACAGAGAGCTTGAGGGTAAATATGGAATAGGTCAATCTTCATTCTTAACGACAAGGACCAAAAGCAGGACTAACAAAAGTCCAGTGGAAGTTCTGAGCTCGTCCCGGGATAGCAGCCAGGAGTCGAAGCTCCTTCTATAACCCTACCCAGGATACTTACACTTCCTCCATACACTCCGGAGGCTGTTTCAGGCGGTTCCCGCCGATGAGGTAGTTGTAAATCTCAGCATTTTCGATGCCAGCATATGGCGTCTGCCCACGAGTCATGATCTCCCACATGGTCACCCCGAAGGCCCACTGGTATAGAATCGGGGTTGGGGGAGAATGTTACCAGGTTTCCTGAGTTAAGCAGAGCCAGATTTTAGGATTCTGGGGTCTCGTAACTCGGTAATCGAAGCTCAGAGAGCAGAGCTTTGCTGGCCCTTTTTGGATCCTGCAGATCCACCCACACACTAATCCACCCTGCTCACCACATCGCTGTGCACAGTATACAGGTTGTCAGCCAAGCTCTCCAGGGCCAGCCACTTGACGGGTAATTTGGAGGCGCAACCCTGACGATAATAGTCCCCACTGTAGATTTTTCGGGAGAGTCCAAAGTCAGCCACACACACCGTCATGTCCTCTGCCAGCCTGCGAGGGGCGTTGAGAGACAGTCAGTCTCCTCCATGTTCACAGTCTTACTACAGCCAGGCTATCCCCATGCATGGGAGGTTCCATCCAAGGCAGGGGGTGACAGCAGCAGGCGCAGGAGGTACTGGCTCTCTCACACCCACCAGGCCACCAGAATTCCTACATGCAATTCCGAGCTGCCAGGTCTCGGTGGATGAAGTTCCGGGAGCTCAGGTACTCCATGCCACAGGCAATGTCGACCATGAACCGGACCAGAGTCTGGAGGGGCAGGTTCTGGTAGGCAGACAGGGCAAGCTCAGGTTGGACCTTCCCATCCCTCGGGGGCAATGAATGAAGTTCCCTGGCCAGAAACTCTAAAGACTGTCTTAAGAATCACTGGAAAGGGAACCAAGGGCCTTCCAAGGAAGCTTTGGCAAGCCTGAGAAAGAGCTAGAGAACCAAATGTCTTCCTCCTAAAAAGGTTTTTACCTGATCTAAAATTCCCAGCAGGGCTTCAAGAGGGAAAAGGAAGCCAGTTTAAACACTATCGGGCTCTGACCCTTTCTCTCCTGATGGCGCCCTGAGTCCTGCCCACCAAGCCTCTTCTAGCCCGGGTTCTTCTGTCCCTTTTCCAGGCATCACTCTCCCACCCATTGCCTCCCGGCCACCCCCACCTGAGTGAGGCACTCACCAACGGGTTCTCCCCAATTCGGGAGGCGAGCAGAAAGGCATGCAAGTCTCCATGCTTCATGAAAGGCAGGATGACCATGGGGATGGGGAGGCGGCCTTTAGCCCTGCTCCGGAGGCTCACCCCTGGGGGACAAGGGAGAGTCAAGAACTGGGCGCAGAAGGCAGAAGGACAGCGGGATGCTGCCTCAGGCCCTACCTGCTGGCTTCCATCGTCATCACCGTCATTTACCACTGCACTTTGGCTCCCGCCTGGGTGCCCATGAAGGGCTCCGCCTGCTGCTCCTGGCTCCCGTACATGTCTCTGTCCCTCCTCCGCCCACACGAGCAGTTCTGAGCTAAGCTCCTCACAGCCGGATTTCAGACAGGACCTCACTCACTCACTACCTGCTTGCTCACTGGGTATCCAAACTGCTCTCCTCCAGGCTGCCCTCTCGAGCTGGTGGAGCGTATTTTTAGCCCTATTCTATATCTGCCTCCCCCATTTGGGCTCACCAACAAGCTTGGCCACGTGTGGATGGTCAAACTCCTTCATGCAAGCTGCTTCTCTGAGGAACTCTTCTATGTCGCTTGAGGCAATGATGTCAGCTGGGAGAAAGGAAGGGGGAGGAAGGGAAACAAGATTCACTCCACATCTTCCCAAGACTCCCAAGACCGGTTCCTCAGAAGCCCCGGGCTTCACAGGGGCTTTCCAGCATTTTCTCCGCCTGCTAATGTTTTCCTGTTCACTTTTCTTCTCATTTGCTTGAGACAGTCCAGCCTGGATTCAAACTTGTGAGCCTCTGCCTTACCCCTCACAAGTGCTGAAGTACCGCTCTAGGCCTGAGTTTTTAGGCTTTTCTTTTAGGTCTCATTTCACAGTTCACGCTGGCTTGGAACTCACTACGTAGCCCAGGCTGGCCTCAAACTTCTAACGATCCCCTGCCTCTGCGTCTCCAGTGCAGAGATGACTGGCCGTCCCCCTGGGTTTGGACAGCCCCTGAGCTCCGCCAAGCACCGCTGTCATCACCCAGGAGTGAACCGTGAGGACTGTCACCGCTGACGGTGGCGGAGAGCAAGGCGAGGGCACGCGTCTTTGTGTGGGCTTATGCTTCTGAATTATTCACATGCTGCAGTCAGCATCCCTGCTGCTGGAGTGGAGCCTGCTCTAGGCTCTGCTGCTCCCTTTACCCCTCCTCCCCAGCAGGCAACAAATCCCACGGTCCAGCTCACCTTTCAGCATCTTCACAGCCACTTTCACGAAGGAGCCGTCTTCCTGCTTCAGCTGGGCTTCCCGCACTGACCCAAACTCTCCTAGGCAGGAAACCAGTGGAGGGTGAGACCCCTCAGGCTCCCTACTCCCTCCCTTTCAGGGGACACTCCATGGTCATCAAATCATCACCTAAGGCTCTTAAAGGAGGCTGTTTTGGGAAATGGCTCCCCATCCTCCCTGCCTCTAGCCACCATTCCACGGAATACCCCCCAAATCAGGCATCTATCAGGTCTATCTTGTTTATAGGAGCTGACCTAAATCCACACACCCTACACCCTGGAAGTGACAGGAACGACACATTCAGAGAGGGCAGACTCATTTCAGCCCCCACAGATCCCCCACACCTTTGCCCAACATCCGGCCGAGGGTGAACTGCTGCTCTGGGATAAGGACGTCCTCCAGCTTGTCCTTTAATTCATCGCTGATGCCCAGGCTATCCACTGCGGGGAGGAGGTGAGAAAGGAGCAGGACTGTAGTCAAACCCACACTCCAGCCTGCCATCTCCACCCCGCTCCCTGTCCTCGGCACAGAGCCTGGATCCCCAACTCCAGTCTGCCATCTCCACCCCACTCCCTGTCCTCGGCACTGAGCCTGGATCCCCAACTCCAGTCTGCCATCTCCACCCAGCTCCCTGTCCTCGGCACTGAGCCTGGATCCCCCCATTGTGGTGATAAGCTCCACCACAGTCTGCCATCTCCACCCAGCTCCCTGTCCTCGGCACTGAGCCTGGATCCCCCCATTGTGGTGATAAGCTCCACCAGGGAATTTGGTGTCTTTGCTATTACTCTGGGACTTGTCAGGGTTCGGATGCTTTAGCTGGATTATGAGTTGGTAAAAGGCAGGGGTCACGAGATAGCCTGCCTTCTCTCGTCTACGATGCTCCACCACTCACGTGTGGCCTCAATGCGTTCAGGCCTTTCTCGATTGAAAGACCGAGCGGCCCGGAAGTGCACAGCTGGCTCCCCTCGGGCCATGACGCTGTCAAAGGCTTGCCTAAAGAGAAACCCAGAACTTCAGGTCAATCACAAGGCCGTGTGGTACCACCTACTCCGTTCACTCTCCACGGCCCCACCTCCTTACACCTCCTACCCGAACCGTGTCTCCTTCCGTCTCTTCCGAAGCAGGATGAGGGCCAAGGCAGCAGCAGTGATCAGGGCGGTGAGCACCCCGAGGACCGCAGGCACCCAGGATGTGCGGCTGTGGGGAGGGCCCTGCCTTCCTGTGGGAAGGAAACGCAACATCATGAGCCAGGATGACACAGGATGACACCAGAGTGTCCTTTTAGAACTTCCCCAGGATGGCCACCTCACACAGCCTTGACAAAAGACTTTCCTAAGTCAAGAGGTGAAAAAGATCCCAGAGAAGATCCAAGAGTTTCTACCTGAGTTGGGACAGGCCCTGGCTGTGGTGACCTGCAGTGTGACCAAGTAAAGGGAGGACAACCAAGCTAGAAATACCAACCCCAGGCTCAACTGCTGGGCTCTTTAATTGGGGGGGTGGGGAGTGGAGGTTGCCACCTGCCTCCTCTTAGAAAGCCTTGATCCCTACCCCACCGGCACGCCGTACCTGCATGGTCATGAGAAGACACTACCAGTGGCTGACTCCAGGGCCCATAGCCAACTGCATTGGAGACACACACACGCAAAATCAGGTCCTTCTGGGGATCCCAGCCGGTCAGATTGGCCCTGGTCCCTTCCACCATCAGCTCATCCTGCAGCCAGGAAAAGTCCCACCCCCACACTGAGTCTGGGGAAGCCTCCAGCTGGGGTAAGGAGGGCAGAAAAAAGTTCAGCTAGGAATCCGGGACCCTTAGGAGCCAGTGAGTGATAGGGGCCGTAGAACACAACCTCCTGAGAGTCACCACGTTCCCGCCCTGCCCTGGAACACAAACAAGCCTCATCCCTAGAGAAGGATGAGAGAATTGGAGCCAGGGCTGGGGACAAAGCTTTATCTGTGCTCCAGACCCCCACCCCATTTGTAGGGGCAGGCACAGGCTTCCTGCTTGGCATACAAAGTGGCCACCGGGCCATCCCAGTGCCAGAGACAAACCAATGAGACAGGGAGCTTGCCTTTCCAGAAGGTGGAGGGTGCTCCCCCTCCAGCACAGCAAGGCAAGCCGAGGGGCTGTCTCCCCTTACCTGGGTTCCGTTTTCTTGGACCCAGGACAGCTTATAAGGTCCCAGGGGGCCTTCCCCAGGGTCCTCAGGGATCACTTCTTCCCATTCCAGGATAAGGCCTGAGTCGGTACGAATGGCATGGAGATTCTGGGGAGCTCTGGTTGGCGCTGCACCCAAAGAAAGTTGTTAGGATCCCTACCTTTCCCACCATCCTTATCCCACACAAACCAAGAGCTAAACAACTCCAAAAGCAGAGCGTGAGGAAAAGGCTTGCCTCCAGGCTGCGGCTGCTAACATCCCCCTGGGCCGGGGAGAGGGTAGCCTGGGCAGGACAGAAGCGGCCCAGCCCCCACATCTACAGCCAGCGAGGCTCTTTGTCACCCTGGTACGGCTTGGCCCCTCCCCCAGCCTCTTTTAACAGAGAACTACAAGCAAATTCCAAGGCAGTGTTCGTTGACTTGCTGCACTTTCCCATAAAATGTCCACATGCCTCCTTCTCATCCTGCAGACCGCACTCAGGCCTCTATCCCCCAGGCCTTTCCAACGCACAGCCCAGGGTTCTTATGAATGAACAAAACCATGAACACACTTAAAACACAAGTTTTCTTTTTTAACTAAATTCTGTGGTTCTCCAGTCTGAGCTTTATAGATGAAGGCTGGCCATCTCAAGGGGACTTTTTTTTTTTTTTTTAAGAGATACTAGGGATTGAATCTAGGCCCTCCTGAATGCTAGGTCAAGGGATCCACCACGGAGCTGTATTCTAGCCCTCTTTAGAGGATTCTGCTTGCCCCACCCCCCCTCAAGTTCTCTGACCATACTGTCCCATGGTTTCCAGTCTGCTTATCTATCGGTTCCTCCCACAAGAACTAGATACAAAGTGGTATGCAGTAACATGCAGTAGGTGCTCAATAAGTGCTGACTGAAGGAAGCCTTCCCTCCCTCTCCAGTCTCACCCCTCTGGCTGCATTCCTTACCTAGGCCCTTTGTCTGAAAGGGCACCCAGTCGGCATAGGGGGAGGGCCCCAAGGCGTTGGCACAGCGCACCCTAAGGCTGTAGTTGGTGGCGGGGGCCAAGTCCCGAAGCAGGCAGGTAAAGGGTGGTACAGGGACCACGACAGCCAGAACCTCCCAGTCTCCTGGGGCCAGTGCCACCTTCAGAAAAAGCAAAACAGAAACTGATGACAGAGGTAAGATCCCCGAGGTGAGATGGAAGACAGGGTAGGTATGGCATGGGAGCTTGAAATGTCTCCTCTGTCTGCCAGCAAACACCTGCTCCAGCTCGTCTCCACCAAAAGACCAAACCAGGTTCAACCTCTTTATTTCACAGAAGCTGTTCCTTGAGGAGCCCTACTTATTCTGAGACTGAGTACAGGCACTGTAGTAGACTGTTGTTCACGGGCGAGGCCCCGAGTCCGATACCCAGCGAGGAGGACTGGGAGTCAGGACAAGCGTCCCTTTTGGTGTTGTTTGTGAGACAGGGTCTCACCACGGGAGCTCTGGTTGTTCTGGAACTCACTCTGTAGACTAGGCTAGCCTCGACCTCAGAGATTAAAGGCGTGCACCACTACGCTAGGCTAGTGAGGTTACTTTCTTTCTTTCTTTCTTTTTATTTTTTTTTTTTTGGTTTTTCAAGACAGGGTTTCTCTGTGTAGCTTTGCGCCTTTTACGGAACTCACTCTGTAGACCAGGCTGGCCTCGACCTCACAGAGATCCGCCTGGCTCTGCCTCCCGAGTGCTGGGATTAAAGGTATGTGCCACCAATGCCCGGCTGCCTGCCTATTTGTACTTAGTGCTTAACTGTTTCAAAGTACTGCCATCTTTACTTACTCACCCCAAAGCTCAGTGCTTTTCAAGGTAAAAAAAAAAAATGGGAAGCAGAGGGCTCCTTGAACTAGCTTCTCATTTTACATTTTGGAGGCCCAGGACAAGAATACAAAGGCCTATGTGTGTGCCTAGGGATACAGCTCAATAGCCAAGTAGTCACTTAGCACACATCAGCCCTGAGTCAACCCCTGGCATTCCTTCACACATATACACAATTCATGTACAACATGGTTAAATCCTTAAACATTAAAAAAAAAATCACCCAATCCATCCGTTTACTTATTTATTTAGAAGTGTTGGGGATCAAATGCAGGCCCTCATGTATGTAAACAAGTGCCGTTTATTGTACCACATCCCTAGCCGTTTTTTTTCATTGTCATATTCTCTCTCTCCCTCCCTCCCCTTCCTCCGAGAAGGCCTCAAGTAGCTGAAGCCAGCCCCGAATTCATTCTGTAGCCAAGAATACCCTTGAGGCGGGCAGTGGTGGTGCATGCCTGTGATCCCAGCACTCAGGAGGCAGAGGCAGGTGGATCTCTGTGAGTTCCAGGCCCCTGGTCTACAGAGCGAGATCCAGGACAGCGGGAGCCGTTACACAGAGAAACCCTGTATTGAAAAACCAAACCAAAACAAACAACAAAAAATAAAAAGAGAATATCCTTGAACCTCCCGAGTGCTGGGACCAGGAGTACAGGGTGGCATAATGCCTGATTTAGTTTAGGTGGTGCTAGGGAGGGGGTGCAGGACTTCCTCTACCAACCGAGCTACATCTCCCGGCATTCCCCCACTCCCCACTACCTTTGGGGGGGGGGGCAGGGACCAGGTCTTACATAGCCCAGGCTGGTCCTTGAACTCCTGACTGTACCTCCCAAGAGCTAGGATTACAGGTGTGTAACACCATGCCTGGTTCTATGTTGCCGTCTTGATAAACAAATCTTCAAAACCACCTGGAAAGTTGGGTTCCCGGTTATAATTCTCCAAATCCCTGATTATGGTAGCACTGGAAGAGTTGGACCTCAGAAATGAGTCTACACCATGAGGGCCTTCCAACGCATGGTTATGGACAATGCTGGCTGCTCCCACCCACCTCCTCCCAGTGGCTACCATTAGACACACACATCACAAGCAAAGGTCTACCTTTGGAAGGATGGGCCAGAGGAGAAGCCTACACACACCCTGGACTCAGTCCCAGGGCAGCCAGGGCAGGACATTCTGAATGTACAGAGTGTTATGTGGCAGTAAGGATGACCCAGATAAGATTGCTCCCTTGGCCCTGCAGACTCTGCCCAGGGACAAAGGGCTGTGGCCAGGGTGAAGCCAGGGGAGAGCCCATCCTGGCTTGGAGACATAATTAGAAGAGTTTCAAAGGTTCTCACTAAAGGACAGGGAACACATAGTCACAGAGTGTTTGCCTAGCCTGTACAAGGCCCTGGGTTTGTCCCCAGCACAGGAAAAACAAACAAACAAACAAACAAACAAACAAGCAATAATAATAAATAATAAATCCCCTTTGAGTAAATACAAAAGCAAGCAAGCCTGCCCTGGCTCTTAGTTGTGGTATCAACCCTGCCCACCTTTTCTAGTCAGCAGGGGTCAGGACCCCTTCTGGTCCTCTTGTTCTCTTTCAGGGCAGTAGCAGGACATGAGAGGGAAGACTATCAGATATGTTAAAAGAAAAACTCTTAGAGCTCGGTGGTATAGGGCTTGCCTAGTATGTGAGAAGCCCAGGTGTGATCCCTAGCACTGAAAGGGAGGAATAAATTGAAAGAAAGAATAATCTTCCAGCTGGGCAGTAGTGGGCAAGAAGCAGATCTCGAGTTTGGGACCAGCCTAGTCTACAGAGCTAGTTCCAAGACAGCCAAAGCTGTTACACAGAGAAACCCTGTGTCCAAAAACAAAAAACAAAGGAATGAAGAAAAAAAAAACCCAACAACAAAAAAGAAGAAAAGAATCTTCCAGATACCCAAGTCTGCTGTGGACCTGCTTTCTAGCATAAAGAAGGCCCAAGCTTTGAGCCCCTCTGTTACAAAAGTAAAGGACAGAGAGACAATAAATAGCCTGGGTTCTTCCTACCAAGCAGCAGCATCTGAATAGTGCTTCAGACCCAGAGTCCCAGACAAGCCTAGAAGTGTGACAGCGCTGTCACACAGTGCGGCCAGGACGAGCCGTCAGCGAGAGCCTGTGTGGTCATCTCAGCCTACCTGCACGGTACAGGAATGGAGGAGGGCTAAACCGTCAGCACCTGGCACCCAGGCCACACTAGCATTGCGGCTGGAGATCGTTGTCATTGTGACGTTGAAGGGGGCTGCAGGAGGAGCTGTGGATAGAGACTTCATGTCAGCGCCCAGGAAAAAGATTCGGGAGGGAAGAAGACCAGCAGTCAAGCCTTGGATTTGTCCCAGGGCATGGAGCACCCCCTAAAGATGGCTCCTCAGCATGTCCGAGGCACAGGGGTGCATAAACCAGCTTCCAGGAGAGCACTATTATTCACACCTGGGAGAGGGCCTAGGCTGGGGGCAGAAGCTGCCTACCGGAATCAAGGACACTGACCAAAGAACAAGGCGGGGGAGGGGTGTTCTGGGGCGACAAAAAGGTGAAACAGGCAACTGCCCGGCTTCTCCAGATGAGAACCTTTGCATACTGGCTCCTCTCCTCCCTCTCTCCTCCCCCTCTGCACCAACACCTGGGTCCCCTTTGCCATCGGCGAGGCTGCTGCCCCCACCCCCTTTCCCTCCACACCCGAGACAGAAACAAGGTTGAATAAAAGCCTTGACCACCTCCTGCTGGCTCCATCCTTCCCTCCCTCCCAGGGACTCTGCTTCGTGATGGGAAATCTGCTGTGACGTCAGGATTCTATTCTTGTCTCTGCTGTAGCAGGGTCTCAGGTGCTCCCACTAGGCATGGGAGCTGCGCCAATTACCCCTCACCTGGAGATTCCTGCAGAGCGGACGCAAGCTGGCTAGCCAGCCAGTTCTACTGCTAGACAGCTGGCTGAGACTGCCCCTGTCCTCCCCACCCCCCCACCCCAGCCTGTGTCCCCCTACCTTGAAGGCGAACAATAGCTGGTCTGGAAGTGGCCAAGCCTTTTATGTTGTGAGCTTCACAAGAAAACTCTGTGCGCTGGGTCACTCCTGGGGCCAGAAAACCTTAGTCAGTCCCCCAAGCAGCAACCCCCACTGAGTGAGTTTAGGAAGAAGGGTCTTCAATTCAGGTTCTCCCCAGAACATCTTAGCAGTCCCTCCAGCCAAAGGAAGGGGGTGGACAGTGGGGTATGGTAGTGCGGAACAAGGGCTTTGCAGTCTAAAAGGCTTGGATGGTACTCTGTCTCCCCATCTGTCCAATGGGAGAATGTTAAGAATCAGGTAATTGATTTTAAAGTGCACAGTACATGGCGAGAGCTCAGAGAAATGATATAACCGTGCCTCCCACCTCAATCTCATCTCCCACAAACAGCACAGGGCACCTCCCTTCTCTGGCAACTCCTTGATTGTGCATACCAGAGCCTTTTGTTTGTTCTCTGCCCGTCGCTGTCACATTCGGAGAGTCTTAGCTCCTCCTGCATGTGTCCTGTCTACCCAAGCGTCCTCAGTTCTCTGGAGGCTGGAAAGGTGGCTTCTATCCTTTTGTTTTCCTCCTGCCCCCTCTGTGCCCAGCACAGTGTGGTGTGTGCAGTAGTTCAGGCGATCCACTGAGTGCTTATTATCACAGGGCTGGCTGCCTGAGGCGCCTAACCACGCACATCTGGAGGAGAGCTGGAAGCTGCGAACCCAGCCTCCTCTGCTCTGAACAGGTCCTGCCCTGGCACCAGCAGGTCCCTAGTCCCTCCATCAAGATTCAGGTTCCTGGGGACTTCCCTTTCATGCTCAGACTCATCTGTTTTGCACGGTTCAAGCCTCAGCTGGGAAAAGTACACTTAGTTTCACAGACTGGCAAGTCTCACAAACATGCGATGTATATGCCCAGGATATATCTTGAGGGTCTGGGAGAATGTGCAGGTGTGACTGCTTCGGGGATAACTGTATATGGGATATGAACAGACGGGTAATTTTTCTAGAAAGGACCATCAAGTGAGGAGGCCCTGTATTTTTACGCTGGCCTCCCTCTTCCCTTTACCCTCCCCCATTCCCCTTTCTATAGCCTGAGTCTTCTTCCAGTTTGCCAGACACTCCTCCCTAGCTCTGCGTGGGCTGGTTTCTGGCTCCTTCCCTGGGGAGGGGGGAGGATGGGTACCCCTGATCTCACACAATTCCTCTCTCGGGGCCAGCTGTGCAAGGACCAGGCTGCCGTGGGTGAGGGAAGGAGGCCCCAGCACCCTCTTTAAGCACACACAGCAGGATCACACCTAATCAGCCCCCCTAGCCGGCACAGCACACCTGACTAATGAGCTCAGCAATGGCATGGCTCACGCACCCTGACACTGGCGTACCCCGACACTGGCGTTGGCTCTGGACGCCCAAGCAGCAAACTCCGATTTATGCAGATCCCAAGTCGACAGTGGTCCCTCCAGCTCTCTCCCCGCTCACAGCCCGCCCCTGGGGCTGCTCACCTGTCACGTTTAAAACAGAGGGAGAGGGGGCAGGGCCCCCAACCTTAGTGGGTCCTCTCCACCAGAAAATGGTCACAGGTTCCGGAGGACCCACGGCCTCACAAGACAGTTGAAAGGGGGCATTGGGTGGCACCGCCACATCTTTGGGTTCCACCGTGAAGAATGGCACACCTAGGGAGGAAAAAAAAAAAGGAGGGGGGGTTAGCCCTGCATCTCTCAGCTTCCTGCCGCTCAAATCACAAGTTCATTCCCATTTGAAGTACTCCGTATGGCCAGCACCACAGGACCCTGAGGTCGGCCGCAAGCGGGCATCAGGTGTGGGGAGGGGGCAGCGTGGGCTTGGTTTCCATCCTCTCCCTTTTCCGCTGCCCGCTTAGGCACGGCAGATTCCGCTGCCAGCCCCCACAGTCCCTTCCAGACCCGCTCTGACAGCCCTTCAGAGGCTGGGGTGGGGAGGTGGGGGGAGGTGCACCCCGGGAGGGGGAGTGGGTGGCAGCTTTAGCAGAGTTCTGCTGGCAGGCCCCGGCTGGCTCCCGGCTCCCGTTCAGGGCCCTTTGTTACTTCCTTAGTCACTTTGTTCTCCAGGGCTGAACAGCTCCGAGCTCCAGCAGCTGTGGAGCCTCCTTCCCCTCCCCCACCCCCTCCACACCACCACAATAACTTCTAACATGGGTGAAGGATTGGGGAGCAGGCCTCTGTGCCTGTCCCACTTAGGTCCTCTCCCCCTCCCCCTCCCGGTAGGTCCTCTTGGCAGAACAAGGTCCAGCTTCTGATGAATGCTTGACAGTTTGTGGCTCAGAAGGCTGAAACAGACTGGACGTCAGAGGTTGTGGGGCCTAGTGGCCTCCTTGGTCCTTAGACATCCAGACTCCAGCAGGTATGGTCCCTGGTGTCTGGATGAGCCTGGAGTAAGGTTCTCAACATGTGGGTCAGGACCCCTTTGGCAACCGTCTGGCTTCAAAAATATTTACATTATGATTAATATCCATAGCAAAATTACAGTTACGAAGTAGCTGTTGTACCCGTGTATGTCTAGACCTTCACAGTAGCAATGGAAACAATTTTATGGTTGGGGGGGTCACCACAACATGAGGAACTGTATTAAAGGGTCGAAGTGTTAGGAAGGTTGAGGACCACTGGCCTAGAGCCTAGGTCACAGGAGACAGTAAGGCAGTCCAGCTTGCCCTGAGTTCTCTTCTGTAAAGGTACAGTTCTCGGCTTCCAGCCAAATGGCCCATCCAGCTCCAGCCTCCTCACCTTCCACGGTGAGCCATACTGACTGAGAGGTCTTGGTTTCTTCCCCATCCTTCACCTGGCACCAGTACAGGCCGGCATCAGACCGCTCCACTGACTTCAGGCTGTGGAGACAGGAGATCAGGGCTACTTCTCAGAGTCAAGGGAAGTAATCCCAGCACCCTAGAGGCTGAGGCAAGTGGACTGTGAGTTTGAGGCTAGACTTGTCTATACACAGAGAGTGAGCTCTGAGCCATCCAGTGCCACATGAGACCCTGACATAAAAAAAAAAAAGAGGGGCAGCAGCTCTGCTGGGCAAACTTAATGGGTTTAGCGTGGCCAGTTTCTAGAAAGTTCCAGAGTTTGCCAAATTTAAAAACCACAGACCTCTAGACACCAGCACAGCCTCAGCTCCCAGGCCCCGAAATGGACACAGGCTGTGTGTGTCCCCGGCTGTCATCCCACACCACAGTCCTGCACCTGAGGAAGCCAATCCAGTACTGCTCGCTTATCGAGAGGGACACCTGGCTTGCATTCTGGACCACAGCCCCGTCCTTCATCCAGTGTATGTCGGGGTCCTCCATCCCCTCCACACTGCAGTTCATCTTGACTGGCTGCCCCTGAGACACTGTCATCTTCGCTGGGGCTCCCATGAGCTTCAGGCCTGAGGGAAGGGAAGGGAAAGACGAGGCGTCAGTCCGACTGAGACGGCCCACGTCTCTGGGAACATCCCCCATTCTCTTCTGGAAAGCAGTTTCTATGATAGAAGCCTCATCCTCAGCTGGTGCCAAGGAGCAGAGACAGGCTTCTGTGAGAAGGAAGGCGGCCCGAACCCAGGCTGGGAGAAGGGGTACGACAAGACCTCCAGTTTTCTGTCACTGCCCAGTTCCTTCAGCACTGAGGGCCTCTTCCCCAATCACCAGAAGGCAAACTGAGCTGGAACAGTGCAGACTTGTCATCTCCCGGAGCCGGTACTGCCCTGGGAATGACGCCTCTACCCAACCAGTGCAACAGGCTGCCAGCTCTCTGCCCGCCCGGGGTGTCAGTCAAGGCCCGAGCTGCTGCCAGCACCCCTGCACCCCACCCTGCCAAACGAAGGGCGGCTGAGGGAGGGGAGGAGGGAGTGCTCCCCTGAAGTGGGGAACATATGGCTACAAAACCACGTCAGATCAAACACATGGCAGCCTTCCTGGCAGCCGCCTGCTCTATTAATACCTGAATGTGTGCAGGGGCGGGTGCTAGGAAAAGGGGAGGCAGAAGGGAGGGGTGGGGCCCTAAGCAGGAGCCCGAGACCCCCGAGCTACTGGGGCATAACGAGGCCCACCTATTGGAATCTTACCCTCCTCAGGCAAGGGTGGGGACACACACACACACCCACACACACCTACACACACCCTCCTGAAATATTTTTAAACTGATGGGCAGGTGAAGTATCTGCATAAATGAAATCCGGACCTGTTTCTTCCAGCGCTCTACTGTGTAACCCTAGGTAAATTCCTGGGCTCTCTGAGCACCAGATACGCCCCTCGAAGCCCGTAAATCCTTCCCACCCTCTCTCTTCCTATTCCCCTCCTTGAGAGACTGATATAGCAAGGAACTCAGTTTTAAGAAATGCCAGGTGGATGGCTGCTGCCCTGCGCCTCTCTACCCTACTCCGTTCACCCACACGGAACGAGGAGAAATAGCCCTCACACCCCTTCTACACCCAGTAGTTCCAGATGTGTGCAGCGTGAACTTGCGAACCAAGGTGCTGCCCTCCTGCCTCGGGGAAATGTCTCAGTGGCTATGTGGCCACGAAAAGCTAATCTTCACAAGGACCAGTAACCTTCATCCAGCCCAAGCTCTTCGGGTTTCCGGGAGCGCCAAGGGCCACAGGAACTCGAGTACGGCCAGAGGTATTCTAGAATCCGGCACCTTCACAGCCCTGGGTGCTCAAACCCGGACCCTGTAGTTTCCGAGTGGGACCTTCGGGGGTGTGCGGAAGGCAGAATGGGTCCTCGGGACTGGGGAAAAGGGAGCGAACAACTAGGAAGATAGAGGCGGGAAAACACAGTCCTAAGCACCCCCGGCTGCCCACACCCCCCACTCTCTTCCCTTGCACCGAGCCAGCCCCGGGCGCGAGAAAGTTGGGGGCGGGGGGG